CCATGCTCAATAATATATCGCCATATAAAGCATTGATTGGCTTTGGACTTCGATAAGAAGTAGTCGTTCACTTCTTAAATTTATCATCTTGGAAGGAAATATTAAGGAGATAGGCAAAACATTGGATTGTTTACTTTCTTTTTTCTTGTTAAATCTAGATGTCAGTCTTTTCCCATTGGGCGTGAACAGTCTGGTGCGACCAGACAACAGGCTTATGTTAAATTTGTCATTGCACATCAGCTACGCTCTATGATATTTCGCCATATAATGCATTGATGTCTTTGGACCCGACCGTATTTGAGGGGGATAGATCACTGCTTACTTGGCTACCTTCTTAGGAAAGAATACTAAATAACTAAATAGTTGAGATAATTTTTCAAAGCCACTGTTTTCAAAATGCAAGTACCGTATTTGACTGATGTAGGTAGACCGACTCGCACTCGAGTCTGCTGTATCAGCTGGTGCAATTATTACTCGAAACGTTTCTTGAGTTCTGAGATACGCAGAAATGGTTTCATATCCAGGCGTGAGTTTTTTTTTGGACCACTGCCGGGAAAAGATGGGTGTGAATAATGTGAACGTGTGCTCCCTGGGTCGTAGTCTTACTACCGGCCCAAGTAACTTAACAAGGCACAGTAGCCTCTGGGGAAGAAACACTACAGATATAAAGCTGTTGAATGTTGGCTAGTACAAACATTTCAGCGAAAGTCGTCGTTTTCCAGGTTTGACCCTTATAAAACTTCTTTTAAGTAAACAAATATTCAAACACTACACTTATCTCCGTTGCGCATCTGCTGTGGTGCATGATGGGCTAGGCCCTTTGCAGATCTTTCGCTCTTTTTTGTCCTAAAATAGGCTTCATCCATCCAAGTACCATGAAACATTAAATTATGATACATTCAATCATGATTGGAGTTAGATAGTTGTTTGCTCCTGTTTCGTATACGTAACGCTCAACCTTAGTTCCTGTAGCCACGTGCCTCACAGTCCCATGTTTTATTTTTGCGTTTTATTTCAGTAGACCTAATTTTGAATTAATTAGCGTTATTCCGCACACGTGAAACATGTTTCTAAACTAGTTACGTTTCGCTTTCATTTGGTTCACGGTTCGGTTGTAGACTTAGATTTAAACAAAGATCTCTTACGTGAAGTATTTCAACGAAATGGAAATAGAGAAACTCCGTGATACGCTTTGTAAACAATCATTATCAGGAGGTGTTGACTATCCTGCCAAGTTGTTATATCTGTATTGAGGGAGCAATGGNTTATATGGCTGTGTCTCACAAGGACTGGGAACTACCGAATTCACGAATTTGATTAGCTGAAATCATTATTGAAAGCGGTTTAGATTTTCCCATCTAGACCGGTCTAGAAATAAAAGGTACAAAGAATATAAAAAATTGGCATATAAGACACAGCATATAATAAACATTTTAATAACCGAGCTAGGTCGGTCTGTATGGGAGGATCTTGACCTCGGTCGCTGGTACAGACCTCACAGCATTCGGTCTGTACTGGCGACGTCGGTGAAGATTCTCTCATACAGACCTCCCGCTCGGTGAATAAGAACTAAATAATAATAACAATAATAATATCCCCTTCCTGCCAAAACTACCTGTATCCGCCCCTACTGGCAGCTCTCTTAAGAGCAGAGACTTAGATTAAGCTTGGATTCGGGCTTGCACTAGATATTTGCATACTTCTTTAAAGTACTGCAAGATAAGCTCATACACAAAGCCTCTGTCGATCAAAGACAAAAGATCGTACAAGTAGAAAGCTAAAGTAGAATTCAGCCTCCGGCAGAGAGTAAAATCCTGCAATTAAGACGAAAAAACTAGAGACAGTCAATAAAGAATAAAAATATCATATACGGAGTGTTGATATCAAGTTTGATCTAAAATACCTTTTCTGTTCGAACGCTTTAAAGTTAACACTGATAGCAATTACAAGATGATTTCGAGCCAAATCTAAAGGAAAACAAACATTCGAACGGTCTGAGAAAATACGTAACAGCAAGAATGATGAAATATTTCTAGAAAACTGGTTGGTTTTCCTTCACCCACCCTTCCTCAATTTCTGATGCAAAGCGACACCTTCCACTCAACCAACCCTTGTTGAGAGGAGTGGCTGAAAGCTAAAGGTTGAAGGTCATAAGAACCAGCATATTTCATAGCAAGTGTAAACATTAAAACTGAGAATTTTAAAGTAAGGAGGGGGAGCGGCGGAGGAAATAAAACCAAATTCCTTCATGGAAAGGCGTGATTAATTTTTTGGTACAATACATATGACTCTATTCACAGCCAAAAAGATTGTGAGCAAATCTCTATCTAAGCATCACTTCTATTTATAGCTCGGGTTACTTTTGACCTATTTTTAATCTTGTAAGATGAAGGTCGGATAAATTCAACTAGATTGTGTAAATAAACAATCAAGAATTGGTCAAATTGCTGTCAACATATGTACTGATGTTCTTTTTCAAGATTTGGTACTTTTTATCGGTCCAGGTGTTGTCAGTTCGTGGCGCGACACTCCAAGATTCGTCTGAAATTTTGAGCTTCAAAAGCGGCATTTTGGCGAAATTCAGTTGTTATCGATTTTCTCTAAAATAAATCGATACTCAGCCAAACGAAGTATGCAATGCTTTGTTTCACTATAAGGCCTACCAACTTGAGAATATGAGCCGAACTGATTTTTTGACTGTTGCCACCAAATATTTGACCTTTGGTAACATTCGCTCATAAGTTGACTTTAGTACTTTAGTACTTGAAATTGCTTCTTCCAAATTGGAAAGTTTGATGTAAGTCTGACTATCCAAATCCAAGCAGTTGACATAAATTAGTAGCGAACGCGAGAGCACTTCGCTGTTGATCTCAACTAAGTCCATCTCGACTGAGTAATCACGTGACTAGAGCGAATTGATAAAGTAGTTCGAAGCGTGGAGTTGTGGGATACCTGACTAATCCTCCTTTGGAGTGTACCAAATACATGACCTCTTGCGTGACAGCCGTTCAACGGATCGCATTTACACTTTTGTCATTTTAGTTCGAACTCTTTCAAAGTTCGTGCTGCTGAAGCCAAGAACAAGGCCGGAAAAACGTTCTGTACATACCTGCAAACTTTATGCCTTTTTTCGTTGAGAAAATCTCGTGTTACTGTTTACCGTTCTCGTCTCGGTTCTGTGGCTGCAGTATGCTGTCACTCGATCGATAAAGCTCATTGATCAACCACTGCGTGGTAATAGCTTCTGGGGATGGGAGTAGTTACTGTCTTATTGGTATCTGGCGCCCCTACATCTGTCCTCTGTTTAGAAACTTCAGCTGAAATGTCTATTTATATAAGTATTGGATGCAAAGTTATATTTGTTATTTTTTGTATGGTTTTGGTTTTTTTGTTTATTCTTTTGACTCGTATTCTTTTCAGATATCGACGAGTGTAACGATGGAAGCCATGACTGTCCCACCATTGCCATTTGTACAAACACCGGTGGATCATTTGACTGTAGCTGTAAGTCTGGACACCAAGGAGATGGACGGTCCTTTTGCTCAGGTAACATCTTGAGTATTCATTTTTAACCGAATACTTAAACTGAAATTGGCAACTTACGTTGTCCTCAAGGACCCAGCATTTGTTTGGTCTTCCCTTTTCATTGACGGAACAAACCGACACTCGATAGATTTTGATTTATCAATCAGCAAATCATTGATTACCTAGTTCGCTCCGATGAACATGCAAAAAAAAAACAAAACAAAAAAACAAAACAAAACAAAGAACGACGGACTCAATTATGAAACATTGTAAAAAAACTTTGATGAGAAATCACTATGATTGATCAGGAGTTAAATGTTTATTGTTTTTCTTAAAACACCGAAAGCTCGTTTTGCTTTCTACTCCCAGACATTGATGAATGCAATGATCATAACCCGCCCTGTGACGAAAATGCACACTGTGGAAACACTGATGGCTCTTTCACATGTTCGTGCAAAGACGGATACTCTGGAAATGGACACTTATGTACAGGTTTGATCGATGATGAGTTGGCTTTGCCTGACTTAGCATGGGTATGGCTTCCCTCCTGGTCCTTTAGGATTCAAAACTACCTGCTCTCAAACCCTTCCTCGAGATATGGGTAATCCAGCTCCATTTCGTTGTCCTGTTTCCCCAAAGAACCTCTTGCCCCCAAGACTAAGACAGATGGTCCTAAGCCTGCGTTTGATAGAGGTCTGAAGTTTCAAAGGGTGAAATACGTTTAGACCGTGTGGTATGAGGTTGTGCTTTTTTGTAGGACTTGGTGATGTTTTGTTCAAGTAGGGCGTCGTATGTTGACGGTTCCAGTTTGTAAAAGTTCTTTGTTTTGTCAGGGGCGGTGAGTGGCTTTCCAGCGCATTCTACGTAGAAACTTCTCGGTTATATATATCTATATATATGTATACATATATATATATATATATATAAACCGCCCCCCCGTACCAAAAAGCACTTGACGAAGGCGGCTACCAATACACCCTTCACTTTTTGTCAAAGGGTGTATTGGAAGGCGGCTACCAATACACCCTTCACCCTTCTTTTGTCAAAGACCACAAACCGAACTTCGCCAACAAACCAACCTGCCGGCTGATCAACCCCACCAAA